AAAAAAAAAAAATGCCATATGGTGTTTAAGGATGTATATGTAATATGTCAAAACATTGACAAAAGCATGAAAATTTCGTGGACTGTTCTATTTCTTCTGAGTATCTATGCAAAACCTGAGCACAATTCTCTTCATGGTTTGGAAATTATTTAAATTTAAAGTTTGTATTGATTTTTATGGAAAATCGCGCATTTATCGACAAATTTGACAAAGAAAAAACATTGCCAGCAAAATAAAAATTTTAACATGTATTAACAAAACTCATGTATTAACTAAACATTTGTGCGAAATTTGATTTAAATCCACTTATTGATTTAAAAGTTATTTACTAAAAATTATAGCGAAATGCTTATAGTAACCCAAAATCTTTTTGTAAACTATCCGTTTTTTTTTTTCTTGCAGTTGATTTCAGAGGCCACCCACAATCAAAAGTTTTTATAATAAATTAGGGAAAATATTAATTAAAACTATTTTTTTTATGAAGTCGTTAAAAAGCATATTATTTTTTGATACTTTAATTCTTTTTATAATCCAGATTTATTTATTTCATTTTCCAAACATTATAATTGTAAGAAATATTTTCCTTATTTTTATTTAAGTTTTGAAAGCTTTTTGCTACTATTGTATAGTCAAAATATCCTTAACTATGTTATTCGGCAATGCTACTTTTATGTTTTTTAATCTCCGAATCGAGAGTCGAGAGTTTACATAAATCTTCATAATTAACTCATGAAAAAAAGCTCACCTGACTGCGCATGGGATCGGTGTTGACTTGACACATATAGGTACCGGAATCGTTCTTCTGAACATTCGACACGTGCAGTTTCCACGTGTTATGTCCGTTGTGCGTCACGGATAATCGATTATTGTGTGCCACCAAGTGTGTGTGTATCGCCAGAATCGCACGGGAATCGGATTTTATCCAGGCTACCTGTACAACATTAGAGATACGGAATGTTATTTCTCGAAATAAAAGAAAATTTCGTACTTGATTGAAATATGAATCGGAAATCTTATTAGAATATATTTAAATTAGCTATTTTAATTTATTAAAATTAAACTAAAGTAGAATTAAACCAAAGTAGAATTAAACTAAATTTGCAGCTAAATATGATACATTTATCATTAAAATTCACACGATAAAGAATAATTAAAAAGATCAAAAATTGCGAATTTAATTAAAATTGATGTATATATTTATATTTAAGATAAATATAAAATTCTCTGATACATAAATATCTGACACATAAATACATAATAAACTCGTATCGACATTTGCAGTAGTAATAGACAGGATATAGTCAGACTCGAGAAAAAATATATGTTTAAAGCGAATAAAGCACAGCGTATAACTCGAAGAAGTACATATTGTGTTACATTAACAAGTATAATTCTCTTATCTTTCACGCGAATATTGTATCGTTTATTATAAAAATGTGTTATATAATTGGAAAGAAATCCGAGAGAGTCGTGTTTCTCTTAATACATCAGTCTCAATACATAAGTCTTATGACAGGCAATTTTCTTAATATTTATGCTGCACGCAAGCGAGATTTTTTTAAAAATACTTTTTACTACAATAAACAACAATTGTTTGAAATAGGAAATTGCACCTTGTACGATTGCAGATGATTAACGACGCAGGTGAAGAAGACGTCACGACCTTGGATCACCGTATGATTTTCCAAAGGGGCTAAGAACTCGGGCAAAACTTCCGGGGTGATTTGACCTGAAACATCATAGTAATGTGACACGTTTAATTACTTTGCGTCACTCTTTTTCTTTTATCAATTATAGAAAATGATTACTAAAGGAAGACAAGCGCATCATGAGAGAACGATATACTTTAATAAAGATTATTTTCAACGGATCTATATAATATAAGCCGAGCTCTCTTTCGAGCCAACTATAAAAAAATAAATTAACGAACAAACAAAAAAAAATATCTAGAAACTGTAACACAATGAAACTGGCAACAGTGGAACATTCGAAAAAAAAAGATTTACTGCGCACTTGCAATCAATTTGCGAGTTTCTACTCTCCGTATATCGAACACAATAAACGACAAACAAAACAACGCATTTTGCGTTGCGTTACGTTCCATCCTTTTCAATTTCGCCGGATATTACGACGAAGCGATCGCATCGCGCGCTTTGAAAAATGCGATGCACCGTTCGAAAAAAGAGAAAAGGAAGGAACGAATGCCGTGGCATCTCTCTGACGAGTAGACTGTGCACTGTGTCTCGCGGAATGCATCGCCGCGATTCGCCGTCGATTCGAAGTGCATGCATGAGCGAGCAGCACGCCGTCGATTAGATATTCAAGGCGTAGGTCGAGGAGGGGGAAACAACCCCTACCCCTCCTTCCCACCCCCTCCCACCATTTTCTCTCCCACGTTTTCTTCCGTCGGTCTAAAAGAGCAAAGAGAGAGAGAGAGAGAGAGAGAGAGCCACCCATATTCTCGTATCGAATTCTTGTATGCGTTCATGCAAGAAGGGCGATAAATGGAAAAATTCTTGAATCTCGCAGTCGTAATCCGGACGCTGGATCCCCGGTTTTCATGGGTCGGTTTTACGACTACCCTCATCGGGCCGTTCTACCCTCGCCGCTCGCTCCGTTGTACCTTCAATCTCTTCCCTTGCTTTTCCACGTTTTCATTCCGCTCTCTTTCTCTCGTCCGACCCTACCCGGCCGTTTTATTAACTAAATTTAATTTTCTCCCTTTAAGGCAAAGAAAGCTGCGAAAATCTCCCGGAAAAAACATTGTAAAGTTATTGAAAGTAATAACCGGATGAGAGAATAATTGGTATCGCGCATTAGGTAAAATATATTTTCATATGAACCGTTACTTTTATTGCTGTAAAGACATTTTCCAGTTATGCGTTACTGTTTCCAAGCTATTACATTCTTTTATTACTCTCGTTTATGATTTTTTAAATTAAATTGCTTCTCTTCCTCTTCTCCGTCTAATATATATAATTTTCTGATATATTAATCTTAAAGAAGTCAATAATAGAAATTTTTACTTAATAGCAACAAAAAAAAAATAGCGCTCATACAATTGCATATCTATTCTATTTTTCTCTGGTTTTTTTATTGTTCTCTTTTTCTTCCTCTTCTTTTCTAATGAAGGAATTCTAATACTATACTTAATTTTTCATAAAATCTTGCGAGCGGCGGAAAGTGTGCGTACGGTGTACGCATGAATGCAAAGTAGAAAGAGAGAGAGAGAGAGAAAGAGGGAACATATAACGCGAAGCATAGTATGTCCCGCCTTTATTGCGCCGGAATTTCATTCCGAGTCTAATTGTAATCAGTGAAGTGTAATTCTAGCAATTTGTCGTCAGGATATCTAATTAATTAGGTCCTTTCGCGAGCGGGCAGGGGCTACAAACGCGCCCGCGCGGTCTGCCATCTCTTCGTTAATTACACCGTGCGCAGGATGGAATTTTTCATCGAAATTATCACGCACCATCCGCCGTCCAGGAAATTAAGATAGCCGTGATGCTCGCGGCTGCACTACGCTGGAATCAATTTCGTTTCTCTTTTTCTCCCGTTTTACATCGTTCCGTTTATGCCAACGTAATGCAAAAATTGTACCGCGAGGGATCTTTGCATAAAAAAATATAGTCTCGATTCTCGATATCGCTGGAAGATATGCAATTCTTTTCCCAGTAGATGCATTAAAAGAATTCATCGAGCTAGTCAATTTTCATTTATATTATGTGCATCGAAAAATATAAAAATATATATGTATAATCTGTGTACATTTATAAATTATAAAATCTCATAACTTATTCAATAATTTTCGATAAATGTATGTGTAAAATGGAGATAAAAAGAATTTGTAAATCCGTCTCTGCGAGTCTGACGTCGTTACGGCCAACGCTAAAAGCCAATAAGACTGTCAGGCGTTTCTGTCGCGCAATAAGCGGCTTCCAACAAACGCTAATAAAACAGTTATGCAGAATCTGAAGGCGAGCTTCTGCGAGCGGTATTAAAAACGATTATAAAAGTCACCGGGCGTCGCTTTCCCGCGTCTAATTTAAGGGAGCAGGCGGGATTCTCGAAAGCCGTAGGACGGCTCCGACGATAGACTCGGGTTGAGCAGTATCCGGTGATACCCACTTTATCCCGGGGAAACGATGGTAAGCCACCCGCACAATGGCAGCCGCGGAGCCGTCCGCCGATTTCAAAGAGTTTGGATTTCGCTTGGCCTTTCTCCTCCACGCCACGAGAGAAATCCTGTATCGTTGAAATCGCGAATTTAAAATGTGTTCCCCGGTGGTCTCTCGTTCTGGCGAGATAGCGGAATATTCCTGAACCGAAATGATCATCAGTTCTCGAAAGCATCGCGCTTCGAAGATCTCTTTATCGCTATCTTACACACGTATCTAAAGACTGTTTCGTAATCGTTTTCGATTACGCTGCATCAATTCAATATTCAAATTCCAAAATATGTTAAAAACGCAATAGTAAATTTACGTAAAGAAGATGATTCTTTTAAAAATGTCTAAAAGTGATTTTTTTGCTACTTGATTAAATGCGTTGAAAAATCTATAGATGACGGTTAATAAAACAATCCTCGCGGTTTACTAAGAAGATGAGTTATCAAGAATAAGAGAGAAGCACTTTCCGAGGTTCCATTTCATGTGAAATTCAGCGGACGAAGATGGTTGAGAGGCAGCAAGAAACGTGACACGCTCGAATGCGTATGCTAATAGGCAGACGTGCCTCGGGGCAAAAGCGACTATTAGTGTGAGTTGCGACAATGAGCCAATGTCATCAAGGTAACATTTGCGCTTGCGATAGGAAAATTATTATGATACGCAACTCGCGCGCAAACGGAAATGAATCGAGAACATTGAAAGTCCGAGATTGACGAAGAACCGTCATTCGAATCGCGAAATCATCTCTCAATTGCGATCGTTAAATTTTTGTTTCGGATTTTTTATGTTTAACTAAAAATTTTTCGAAATAATTCAATTTTCAACATACGACATCGTTGCTCTCTCACAAAATTAAGTCCATTTGGGACTAATTATAGAATAAAATATTTTACTATGTACAAACTCGAATAATATCGATACTTCGATTAAAAAATTCTCGTTCTTCTTAATTCAGCTTTCTCGAGTATGAATAAAGAGTGATTTATGAAACTACGATGCCTCGTGTATAATGTAATCAAACAAAAGTTCTGTTTTAATTTAAAAAATAAGGAGTCGGATCGAAAGAACAATCGAGAACAGCCAGAGAGAGCGACTGTTCGAGGCGAGAGAAGAAGACAGCGGAATTACTCCGTATTTCCGCGAGGATTAAACGTCCAACTTTTTTGTTTTTGCCAAAGTGTTCCGGATTTTCAGATCGCGACAGCCCAGCGAGCTAACTCGAAAAATTCCACGGATTCTTGCACGGCAGGAAGCGCGCTCGTCCGTGCACGCGTGTTTCACCGCCGGAAATTGCATAAGACGGAGCACGCGGGGGACGGAAGTTACATCACGTGTCACGCGCCGACGACGGAATCTTTTCGGCAAACACAGAACGCCGAAGGGATTACAGTTTCGTTAAAAAGTTCCGGTAACGAAGGATTTACGGCCGTACGAGAAAGAGGTGGCGTAAAAACGCCAGCGGGATGCTTGTAGGAGAGGAGGAAGGAATTAAACAAAACACAGCAAAGCCCGTGTTTAAATGGAACGGGATGGCACGTGACCGTGTGTAAACTTGGGAACGCTGTGTCGCAGTGCGAAGTAATTTAAACTATGCTGTAAACTACTCTTTTGTGTACCTATACATATTTTGATATATATTTCACATTATATTTTATATTCGGACCGGCGCTGTATTTTTTCTCAAATCAGAAATTTAAAAAAAGTGAGACAAAAAATTAATATTTACTCATCTATCAGAATTAGTTTGAAATGCGAAACTCAAATAATAAAAATCAATTTTGCATTAGTTGAACGAATCAAGTTTGTATACGAGAAACGAGGATAATTTGATATATATTTTATATATACACACACGAGTATATATACACACTCAGACAGCACAAGGATGTCCTTAGGACGTCCAAAGGGCATCCAGGACATACATGTAGGATATCCTGAGGATATCCTATTTTAATCCTCGGATCTCCTCTGGATGTCCTGAGGAAGAGTAAATGATAGCCGTACACTAGCCTCTGGAGAATCCAGGGAGATCCTGTGGAACATCTTAAGGATTTCTATAGGATATGTTAGGGATATTTTTCATACGTTAAAAGGAACAAATTCTAAAATTTAAATATAAATTAAGATTGCGTTCTGTTATTTACTGCCAATACTAAAAATCTAATACTAAAAATAGTTCACGTTCTTTAATATTTGAGGTTTTCGTGCTGTACATGAATATTTTAGGTTTGGCTTCCGGGTTTGAGTCGTGTAATATTTTCAAAACAATCCAATATCTGACTTCCTTATGTTTGGATTGCATCAGAAATTGAACTGATAAAAAATAATTATATTTTTAATTTCCTGTTAGTTGCTCTTTGCAAGCTTTATATAATTCTCATGACCAAATCTCAAATACGAGTTTGCGCTTCGCATAGCGGTAAACAAACTAACTAGCGGTTGAATACTATTTTTTGTAAAGTTTTTGGAATGTTGCGCATAGTAACATTTCTCATAAATTATTAAATAAATAATAATTTTGAATATGTGAAAATGTGCGCATCAAATTCAATTATTAATATTAAACGAAATTAATGTTAACAGTTAATTGCACATGTATATGTCCTCTGGAAATCCAAAGGACATTCAATATAATAGACAGGGCAGGTATCCTACAGACATCCAGGGGTTATCCAATGGACATTTATAGGACATTAATACTTATTACAATACTTAAAATTTCTAAATTATATTAAATAGCCTACATAACCGAAAGTAATCATGTATGCATATTAAATTTTCATAAAATATATTTATAATAATATCTTAAAACATCCTACAAATATCCTGAACCATCCTGGACATATTCAGGATGATCCTGAGGACGTTTTGTGCTGTCTGGGAAGTAACTCTGAAAAACTATTTTTGAAAATATCAACCCGATCTTGGGGGATAATTCAGTTATCGCATACGAGACACTCTCGGTGATTTTTTATCTTTTCTCCTCCGTGAAGAACGCCGGGAAAATCGCGTACGCTGATTAAGGCCCGTTTAGTATGCGCGAAACGGACCCACACTGATAAATAGCT